TCTATATTAAAAATCATAGTTGGTATAAAATGATATTTTGGACAAAGAAAATAAAATTAGTAAATGTTTCTATTTTTCTTTTTTTGAAATTTCCTCAATGAATTATTTATATCTGTCATTATTTTTTTTTGTTCTGTATGTGTGTCCTTAAATGTAACAAAATAGAAAAGGAAAAGACAAACATTCATTAGACAAATTACATGACTACTACGTACTAACTTGTGTTATAGCACGATTTTTTTTTAAAGTACTGGTAATTAATTAATAAAAGATTACAGTAAAACCTCTATAAATTAATAATATTGGGACCATGATATTTTATTAATTTATAGTGATATTAATTTATCTATAAATTAATAATTATTAATTTATAGCATAATTTAATATTTATTAATTTATAGAAAGTTTTGTTTAAATTGTGAAAACTTTTTTTAAAAAATACGAGCTAAACCAATGTGATCTAAATAATATTAATGTTTTGGATGTTATAAATTTTATAGTTTGACTTAAGTTTCTTTTGACAATAACAGATTATAGAATTCACATATATAAACGATATACATAAATTAAAATCCACAAATAGTGACATCTATTGTTGTATTTCAAAAACCTATACAACTATTAAAACAAAAATTATGCATATTCAAATTTGAAAACTTACAAAAACTTTTGGCTATTTTTATGAAAAACACTAAAACAATTATATATATATATATATATGTGCAAATTTACATGATTATTAATTTATGATATTATTGGGACTATATTTTTACATAGGGATTCCAAAAAACTTATTATCTTATTATCTTATCGAATTTGGTTAATTTTTACACTGGCCCGATTCGGGACTGGCAAAATTTATTAATTTATCGTGTTTATTAATTTATCGAGTATTAATTTATAGAGGTTCTACTGTACTATGAAGGTATCATATTTGACATACAATTTGTATTTTTCTTTTTTTTTATTTTTAAAATTGAAATTTGGTTGGCTAATTTTTATATATCCGTGCTAGGTAATCATCGTCGATGCACCAAGGGTGAAGATGAGCACAACTCCCGTACCCGTTTCCAAATCTTGGTTTTA